TCTTAGTATGATATTTAGGGTAAAGAATATGTTCCTTATATCAATTATGATCTCTGTGATGCTTCCTATATTCTTTCCTAATATCATGTAAGTATCATGTTAGGGCTAATTGATATTTAATGTTTAGTGACATGCTAGGGTTTGTTATTAATCTTGTTAGTATCATGCCTAAGATCTTGCTATTATTATGCTTTAACATGATGTTGATTATTATGATGCTTTATTTATTGTTATTGCTTGATCATGCCTTTTATGCATATTTAAAGGGAATCTGTACTTGTAATCACGCTTAATAAGATAATTAATAATCTTGTTTAGGGCTAACATGATTATAATTCAAGTGATCGCCAATAATAGATTTATTTGTGCATTAATATTCAACCAACATAGATAAACAAGTTTAGGGTAAACCTATTGATTGCATGTTAGTCAGAAAGCGCATATGAATACAAGAAGAATAAAGTAGAGACCTATTATTAGGGCAGGTTCTTTCTCTTTTAGATTGGATTTGTACCTTCATCCCCGAACTTAATGTCATGGTTCCAGACCTATTGGAGTTAACGATCTCCTGGGTTGTTAAGGTGTGTAACCTTCACCCTGTGAATGATTTACAAGTTCCTAAAACTTGTTGGCGACTCTTTTGCTCTACATTCCTTCCCTTTGGACGCCACCATGCTTAAGTGTATGCAAACAGTGGGGTTCAAGTTTGGGGTAATGCTTGAAATATTCCCTACACCAACTAATACAAGATTAGAGTTACTTTGTAGTGCTATAGGGGTTACTTGGTAAGTGTTATAGTGGTTAATCAATCAGTGCTATAGATAGGGGTAGTATTACATTTACATGGATTACTTGATTAGTTTTATAGGGATTACTTTGTGATTTATTTAATTACGTGGTGTCATTAGCCGCATATAAAATACATTGTTATTTAATTTATTTTAATACAATATTAGAGAATAAGTAAAGTAAATTTTAATTAGTAAAATTAATTTTAGATTTGTAAAAGTACTTTCAGTTTAGTAAATATAAATTAAGTTCAATATAAATAATTTCAAGTCAATAATAACATATTCATCTATTAACAAACAAAAGTGAGGGCCGCCTCTACTCACTCTGGTGCCTTCATCCCCTTACTAGAAAATGTATTATGAGACCGTCTTTTTGTTAGTAGTACCATAAGTTTAGAGACCAAGTAAGTTGTCAGAACCTTCGGCCGGAGGTATAAAGTAGCTACACAAAGTACACTCCATATGATACCATATGTCTAAATATCCTACATTATAAGAACGAATTATTTGAATGTATTTAACATTAAAGTAAAAATATTATCTTAAAATATTATCAACCATCTAGGCATCACCCGGGCACAAAAATAGTATATATATAAAGGAAAGTTTTTTTCCCAAGATTTAAAGAGCCACCTAGGATTTTTATTTTTAAAAAAATTATTAGAGCGCCATATAGGATTAGTATTTTTAGCACGTAGCGTGTACGATTATGCCACATAGGTTTGTTATTTTATAGCATCACGTAAGATTAAAATTAAAGGTTTAAATTTATTATAAAAAATAATACACTATCTTTTTAAATTGGAAATTTTATCGAGAAAAAAAACAATTTATTTTATTCCATATATATATATATATATATATATATATATATATATATATATATATACATACATGTATGTACACACACATATTATGAAATATTTGTGCATATCCATTATCCTCCCTTGTATCATTCCAGAACAATCTAGAACCAGGGTTTATATTTTTATCCAACCAAACCCTAGTTATATTGTATGTATATATATCTCTACTCTATGGAATAAAAATGACTGATCTATTCTCCACCAATTTATTTCTATTCTCTTTATTTCACGACACGTTATCAGCACTAAAGCTCTAACTCATCGATTAAAATAACTAAACCGCCAATTGAGATTAATAAGATCTCGACTACAATTGATTGGCATCGAGAAAACAGAAATTAGCAACAAATTCATGTTAAATTTTTTATAATATTGACGAGACGACAAAACCCATGCGAATTTGGGAATTATTTGATCGAAATTCCGATTGATGATTATCTTTTTGATGATATTGATGATGAATATCTTAAAGGCATTCTTATAGTGTTTCTCACGTGTAAATGGAATTTGTATTGTAGCAATAGAAGGCATATAATTGTCATGAATATTTGAGAGAGTCAACCCAAATTGCTATTTGTGCTGTTGATATATTGATTGAAATCATACCTCAGCTCAAAGGTACGCATATTTCATCCTACTCATATTATTAATTGTTCTGTTATTGTAGGTAAATAAATTTACATATAAGAATATGTATATGTATTAGTCAAAAGAGAATTAATTTGGATGTTAATTGTATATCGCAATCATACTTGACACAAATTTTAAAATAATATACTATTATGTATTATTCGCATACATGATGATTGTTTGATATAAGGCTCCATTTATGTGGTAAGATAGATTAGAATTGTACAGAGTAGATTTAGTTCTCTCGTTCCCCCATTAATTGTGTGTGCCAGTGTAGTTTTCCTTTTCATTCGATTATATAAGATCCTTTAACAGGTTTGGTAAAATTTGTTATTTTGTGCTTTGTATAATGATTTATGAGCGCAATAAGATCTCGTCTCTAATATGTTTTTAAGTTTTAAAAATAATTTGGTATATGTTTGCAACATGATTGATATTTCTATTGGTTAAATCATTCTCTTACTATACAATTTAGGATCTGAATTGTAAAAGGTTACGAGTTTTATTAATTTTGTTTTTCATTTTACGCTTGTATGATGTGATTATTTGATACAAGTGTATCAAAGGGTAATTTCCTTTTATTTATGGTATTTTGGTGGTAGTGACATTGATACATATCTATATGCAATTCGATCAGCTAATTGGTGAGGAGTGGTTTTGTCAATTTACCCTATGTGCCATATTTTAATTTTATTTTTGCAAAGCTAGTTGGATAAATTATTTCCTTGATTTTAGTTACCTTGAAATTTATCCTAGATCTGGATAAGTTTGGTTGCTTTCTATTATATGTTCCGTAATTGATTTTATGTAAGATATAAACAAATTAGGTCATTATAATTTATCTATTTCAAGATTTTGCCTGCTGATTTTGGGTTACCAAACTTGATTAACTTATTACATGTTTGTTATCTTTACTAATACTTGTGTCCATTGATACATCATATTTGATTATGGACCTTAATTATTATTTGTCTTGATAGATTATGGATTTGTTTGTTTAGTTTGAATGATTCAAGCTGTTAAACTTCCACCCTGATCTAAAGACATAGACAATGGAATTGTTGATCATGGAGTATATGCTAAATTTATTTATTTATTTTTCGAGATGATACTAGTTATTTATATGTGCTTGTAAGAACAACCAAAAGGTGTAGTTTGGCAAAAGACTAAGTAAGGTAGTACCAAGTCTAATATCTATACACTAGTATACTACTTATCAGGGGCGGAACCAGGAATTTTATTTAACGGGGGCCAAAGTAAAGGGAACTACGATGACGATAAAAATAATGAACATTTTCACACATCAATTTATTAATCCACATATCACAACAACAAAAATATATTTTATATAAGCAATGAATATAGAGTTATAGAACATATTCCAAAAAAATTACCATAGTACTACATGAAGAAAAACATACCTTATCATTTATCTTATATCATTTTAGTTGTGCTCGTCTCTCTTTCATCATATAAAAAGCATCAATGATGGCATCTTCACTAAGTGTTTCCGCTATCTCCTTTTCTATATACACTATTAAGTAGTCCTTCAAAAAATCGTCCTCCATCTTACTTCGAAGGTTTGTTTTCACTATCTTCATGGCTGAAAAAGCTCTCTCAGTTGTTGCAGTAGATGCTGGAAGAGTTAATACGAGACGAATTAACCTTGAAACAAGAGGATAATCTTTTATTTTTTCTGTAGTCACTAATCCTTGACATAAATCACCAAGAGTAGTTAAGTTCTTCAACACTGGATGAATAGGAATATCAAGCCAATAATGTTGCAATTCATAACTCAAATGATCTTTCTCATGTTCTGTGAAATCAATAGGATAAAAATCTCGAGCTAGCTTGCAAATATGCTCTATATTGAATGACTTGTAACCATCTCTTGGATTCAAGGCCGCACTTAAAATGAGAAGTTCAGTAGCTCGCTCACTAAATCTTGCGTTTAGCTCTTGCAATTGACGATCTATAGCAGCCATAAATATATCAACTCTATAGTGATGTTCCATTGTCACATTGTCTTTTTGTCTTGATTGTTGCCTTATAGATTTAAGCACATCAACATAAGGAGAGTCCATGTCGGGAACTGTAACACCATTTTTCTCACAAAAAACTTTAACATTATGTAGCAAACTCTCCCACCCATCATTCCTTAAAGTTTGAAGTAATGTCTTTGTAGTGCAAACTAAATGCATTGCATTTACAATATCTTGGGTCTTCAATTGTAGTGCTTGACAAAGTCCATCGGTGATGGCCATAATCTCCTTCACAACATGTATGTTAAATACGAATTCAAATGACATTAACAACTTAAATCCATTAAGAGCATCTCCTCTCTGAGCATAAGTTGTTCCTTCACTAGCTATGTTAGCAAGAACTAAGCGAGTAGCACAATACATTCTTAACAAACTAGATATTGACTTGTAATGCGAGCTCCATCTAGTATCACCTGGTCGTTGTAATGTACCGATTTGATTGAGACCTTTTCCCGTCTCAAGCCCCTCAATCTCAACTAGATGTTCAATTTCAGCCAATTGAGTTGCTTGTAACTCGTCATGTCGCTTTGAAGAGCTAGTGACCACATTAACAACAAAAATCAATTGTTGAAAGAAAGTATGAATCTGTGGCACTTCCCTAGATGCAGCAACAAGAGCTAGTTGTAGTTGATGTGCCAAACAATGAATGTAATAGGCATAAGGACACTCCTTCATAATAAAGCTTGTAACCCATTCCACTCTCCACGCATATTACTTGCACCGTCATACCCTTGACCTCTAATATTTTGAAGGTTAAGGTTATGATGAGACAAGACAGCACAAATTTCCCTTTTTAATGTTTTTGATGTAGTGTCTTTGACATGGACCAAATCCAAAAATCGCTCTCTTACCAATCCACTTCTATCAACATATCTCACTACTAATGCCATTTGTTCTTTCTTAGAAATGTCCCTAGACTCATCAACAATCAAACAAAACTTTGCATCACCAATTTCCTCACGTATACTATTTTGCACTTTTCTTGCATAAACATGTAGAATCTCCTTTTGGATTAGTGGAGAAGTGTATTTGGCATTCTTTGGGGCATTATCCAAAATAACCGAATCAACATCTTTATTATATGATGCTAAAAGTTTTAGCATCTCCAAGAAGTTCCCTTGATTAATTGAACTAGAACGTTCATCATGCCCTCTAAATGCACAAGCTTGGAAAGTTAACCATTTAACAGCATCTATTGATGTCTTAAGGCGTAAACGATTCTTGACAATCTCCTCTGCAGTTACTTTCTCTACTAATTTCTCAATGTGAGCGGATTGATTTTTGAGATTAAAATAACACTTTGTTGAAAAGTTATGAGCAGAATTGGAATCTTTCCCCATGTGACACAAAAATGCACCATCCTTCCCATTATTTACTTTCTTCCAATTTTTAAAGCCCTTCACTGTGAATGTATCCGAACCACATCTTCCAAGAGGCTTTTTAGCAAAAAGAAAGCAATAGAAACAATAAGCAGCATCCATTGTGGGAGAATACTCTAACCAAGGAAACTTCACAAACCAACTTTTTTGGAACCTACGTGGGTGTTTTTCGGAACCAGAGTATGGATAATTATCAAGTTTAGGTTGATATGGCCCAAAATCAATGTAAGATCTCCTAATCAAATCTTTTTCATCTGAATCATATGTCTCAATTTGCTTACGCAACCCAGGATCACGCATTAAAAAATCAAGACCAATACCTTCTTCATTAGGCATTTGCTCATCAACATTGTCATTATTAATATTACGTTCGACTTCTTCATTATCAATGATAATTGGCTGATTTGGCTCAACAACAGGTATATCTTCATCACCCCTGCCCTTTTTTTGTGGAAGAAAATAAGAAGTGATAGTCCTCTTTGTCATTCCTAAATTACAAAAATTAACAGCAAAAAAAGCATAATAAAATCTAATGATTATTGGGCAATATATCAAGTATAATTGCAATTGTATTAATTATTCTAATTATTCACAATTTTCATATAATTGTTTGGATTTACACATTTACTGATTTACATATACAATTAGAGTATTAAACCCCAAAATTTCTAATTCAAAATCTCACTCTAACTATTTATTCAACACACTAAACCTGTAATTAATATGAAAATTGAAGTAAACAAACAAGATTAAGTAGAAATTGATAATTAAATTACATGAATTAAGGAAAATCAACAACAACAAGCAAGAAACTTCAATGGTGATATGTACTGTTTGTTTCGTCACTTTGGGGGTTTTCACTGCTTTCCTTTTGTAATTTTGTGTTGAAGTGAATTGTAATGTTTGTAAGTTGTTATTTTTTTATTAGATAATTCTTTTATCTTTTATTTTTATTTAGTTGCAATATTTATATTTTGTCTTATCTAACAATATAATATAGTAGAATCTAGAAATATCAAGTACCAAACTCATCACATGCGTTAATATTAGTACATAAAGTGTGAGTTTGGTTTTGTATTAATTTTTTTTATTTGTTTGGCGGGGGCCACATGAATTTTTTATACTTTTACTTGTACTAAAATCCAAATATTACCAATGTAAAGCAATTCACTTGAGGGGGGCCTTGGCCCCCTTTGGCCCCTACTATCTTCCGCCCCTGCTACTTATGCAGTAAGAATAAGAATTAGATTTTATGTCTCAAATGTTTATGAATGATTTGTGAATATTTGTTACATAGGATTAAAAGATTTATTTGTTCCATTTTATGAATAAGAATAAGATTTTATGTCTCAAGTATGGTTTTCCCCAAATATTCACAAAGCATTCGTAAGCATTCATAAACATCGTATGAATTATCTCAAGTCCTAATTCAATCGTATGGATTATCTCAAGTATGGTTTTTCCCGCTAATATGATATGTTAGTAATCTTATTATACACTATTATGAAACATACTAAGATGATTTAAATGTTGAAATATTGATTTATATATGTGCGGTTGAATTCAATTATATATTATAGTGTATGTCTACGAACATAATAGCACTCACACATATGAGCATGAAGTTCCTTAAGTTTATAAAGGCTAATAAACTTGCTATGAAAATAATATGAATTGGAGGAAGTATTTGCTTATAAAGCATGAAAATGAATATACAAAAGAGTTTGAATAGCATTTTGGATTCTGAACTCTGGGTGAGGATTGACACTTCATAGATTACTAAGTTTATTCAATCTCAGTAGTAAATAAAAGTTTATATGATTGAAAGAATAATAAGCATGTTTACATTATGATTTCTACCTTTTAATTCGTTGAAGAGTTCATATGTAACAACCCCAAATCTTCCTCTACATAAATACTATATTTATACGTATACAAATATCGTAGAGATAGACGTGGGTGTATTACCGCCACATGAAAACGTAAGGCTTAAATAAATACTCAAGTTGCTGCGAAATATAACTAACTTTTATTAATTAAATGAATAACCATAAAAGCTGTTTCAATTTACTTCAATAAAAACTTGTCCGGTCATAAAATAAAATTTAACTCCTAACTATGTAATCTCATCCCGACTCTAGCATGCGCACAAACAACTCCACACCTGAAATTAAGACTGCTTACCAGTAATGGCAAACAAGGCGAACTATAGACACCCATGCGTGTCTCCCCAAAACCAAACCCGGTGATGAATACCTTTCACGTCGAATCATTATCAAATGAAGTGAAAGTGTGGAAAGTCTAGTGTTGCGGTTAGTTTTTATTAAATTCTCTCCTTCTGTTTTCGAAAACCTATTTTATTTTATGAAAATAGCCAATCCAGTTTAGTTTGGTCCATGAAAAGAGTCCAATAACAGTGTAGTTGGATAGGGCTCGAAAAAAGCTTTCCAATGATATATTATAAGCCCAATTCCGATGAATAATTAGTAAGTTATAGCCAAAATACTAAACTGGACTTGATTTGGTTCTTACATACGGCCCAGTGATCTAGAGGAGGGCCTATTATTAATTATCATTCCTAAAGCTATTAGGATTGATTATAGTCTTTTAGAATACTCTAGCAGGTTCTTTTGAATCCTAATAGAGTTAGGATTGTTAATTATGTTTCAAAGAGTTTGAAATTGAATAAAACTACTCCTTTTAAGAATCCTTGTTTTGTACGAGATGGAAAATATTCAGATATTAATTTCATGCCTCATAATCTTCATCTAAATTTTATATGGTTTTATAGATCTTGAAATTATCTTTCCAATGATATATTATAATATTAATTCCGAGCTATAAAGAAAAAGATATGAATGAGATATGAAACTCTATCCAAAACTGATACCCTTCCACTATTTCGGCCATATCTTTTATCAGCAAATAATTTTAATCTGATACTAATTGGGTTAGAAGACTTCAAGAGCTTTCCAACGATATATTATATGCCTTATTTGGACTTCTGGATCAAAAGATATGATAAAAACAAACTCCGCAAAAACTGTCTTTGCAGCGCCGGACGGCAACAAACCCTGTCGCGCGGCGACAACGGCGTGTTTAATTCCTTTTCAAACTCCAATTCATTTTTATCATATCCGGACTGTTTTCATTATAAATAGCGTCCTCAAATCTCCGTTTTCAATCATCAACTTTCCATCAAGTCTCCATCTAATTCTCACCAACACTCATCAAGAAATTCTTGATAACTCTTTCTCTCTTTTTCTAAACCAACTTTTCACAAAAAAAAAATTCCGCATTCACAAGATCTAGACACACCTAGCCAAGTTCGAAGTTGCCTTCACCCTAGACGTGAAAGGTTTGATATTTTTGAGGCTTTTGTCCCAAATCTAGTCTAAATTTTCTTAATCTTTATTTCAATTATTTAATTCAATTGATTGATTTATTATTTTCGTTGAAGTTACTAACGTGTATTTTGTTATTAGGAAGAGGTACGAGGCATCCATGTAAGTACTTTAATTGTTTAATTGATATTTTGATATAAAAATCATGCTTAGATTGTTATTTTGATTCTAGTATCATGTTAAGATGCTTTTCTTAGTATGATGTTTAGGGTAAAGAATAAGTTTCTAATATCAATTATGATTTCTGTGATGCTTCATATTCTCTTTCCTAATAGCATGTTAGTATCATGTTAGGGCTAAAACTTTTATCTTTATTGTTTAGTGACATGCTAGGGTTTGTTATTAATCTTGTTAGTATCATGCTAGGATCTTGCTATTATTATGATTTAACATGATGATGATTATTTTTATGATTCATGATAATTTTTAATTATGATTATTATGAATGTTATGATTATTGTGTTGCTTGATTTTATTTATTGTTATTGCTTTATCACACTTTTTATGCATGTTTAAAGGGAATTTGTACTTGTAATCACACTTAATAAGATTATTAATAATCTTGTTTAGGGTTAATTTGATTATAATTTAAGTGATCGCCAATAATAGTTTTATTTGTGCATTAATATTCAACCAACATAGATTAAATAGGTTTAGGGTAAACCTAATGATTGTATTTTAGTCAGAAAGCGCACATGAATACGAGAAGAATAAAGTAGAGGCCTAATATTAGGGCAGGTTCTTTCTCGTTTAGATTGAATTTGTACCTTCATCCCCGAACTTCCAGTCTTTCCAGACCTATTGGAGTTGACGATCTCATGGATCGTTAAGGGGGTGTAACCTTCATCATGTGAACGGTTTACAAGTTCCTAAAACTTGTTGACGACTCTTTTGCTCTAGCTTCTTTCCCTTTGGACGCCACCATGCTTAAGTGTATGATCACAATGGGGTTCAAGTTTGGGGTAATGATTGAAATATTCCCTACAGTTTTTTGGCGACTCCACGTATAAACCCTGGTCCACATGAGTAATGATTGGCCTGAACTAAGGCTGTGAAGGCTGGGAAGATGAAGGCCGCTGCGACTAACCCTGAAAGTGTTGGAATGGCTGGGAAGGCTGAGACTGCTGCCACACTAGTAGAAAAAGGCTTATTTGCGTCGCTCATTTATAGTGTATTTGCGTCGCTTCTATGAGCGACGCAACTGCTCGCGACGCAAATGACTTTTGAGTCATTTGCGTCGCTCCTAGGCGCGACGCAAAAAAGAGTCATTTGCGTCGCTCCTTTATAAAGGAGCGACGCAAATGACTTTTTTGATAAACTTATTTTTTGTCATTTGCGTCGCTCCTTTATAAATAAGCGACGCAAATGACTTTTCTGATAAACTTATTTTTTGTCATTTGCGTCACTCTTTTATAAAGGAGCGACGCAAATGACTTTTCTGATTAACTTATTTTTTGTTAAGAGAGACACAAATGACTTTTCTGATAAACTTATTTTTAGTCATTTGCGTCGCTCCTTTATAATAAAGCGACGCAAATGACTCTTCAGATAAACGTTTTTTGTTATTTGCGTCGCTCCTTTATAAACAAGCGACGCAAATGACTCTCCCAATTAACTTATTTTTTGTTTATTTAATGAGTGACGCAAATGAGGTGAATTTTTTTTTTTAATTATAATATAATAATTTCCTTGTATATGTTTGTAGTACCTGTTTTCCTAGGTATAAAGTAATATGCTAACGCTAATATAATTGAAATTAAAATGCAATATTATTGAATAATGCAAATGTAAATTTCGGCAGAGTCTCCTTTGTAATTTGGCCTACCCATAAAATTGGGAATGACGGCATTATATTAACAACCTGTCCAATAATTTACATCTCAATATCATAGACATTATACTCATCATCCCAACACCAATTAACCAAATTACTTAATTTCAAGCCTATAATCCAAAACAAGAGTCAAACATGCGCTAAGTGGTAAATCTAAAGTTCAACATTACATATAAAATACTCTGCCCAAATATCTCGGATCTCATTTATCTCCTCCTCGGTGTACGGTGTAGTTCTTGAAAAATCCTATCAACACAACAAATATACAAGAGGAAAGTTTTAATTCAAGATTGTAGCTAATATCAAATTGTATTTATCAAACAAAAATGAAATATTTGACAACTCATACCTGAATAAGATCTTCACTGCTATGGTGATGTTCAAGTATTTCGTACATATAATGCATGACGTAGTAGCCACACTCACGTCCACCCAATTGTTGAGGACACTACATGTAATATATTTGTAAGTTGAATTAAATTGCTATACTTCAATTATTAAGAAACTAAAAGTTAGGGTAAGAAATTAAGGTAACCTGTCCCAAATGCCATGTCAATTTACTTCCCCTAGATTGTCCACTTAATGCCTTAAAACTTCGAAAAGCACTACACATTTGAAGAACAGTCCCAAATCGGGAAATAGTGAGCCATGATCTTCTTAGACCCAAAACAATTCAAGTAGTTACCACCTAAATGAGATAAAACATTCAAGAACAGTCCCAAACCGAGGACTATTCAAGACTTACTCCTAATGAGTAAGCCCTGAACGGGTATCTAAGCCAATGATGCAAGTATTATTGCAATTCCAATCAATTATATCACAATTAAAAATCTCATACAATTCACAATCATTATACCAACCAGAACAAATAAGTTAATATTGCAAAGAATGGTTCAGATATATATACCACAAGTGAAGACAATCTCGTATGTGTACTACCGGCTTAATCGTTTGTCCACAACCAGAACCTCGAGCAACTTGTGGAATTCACTTCCGCATAATTAAGAATCTGCCATAAAAAATTACATATATTACACCAACATAGTTGATTCAACTTAATCTGCCATGTGACATAAAAGTTGTTATTCAGCATTTCTTATTAGCCAATCATGGTGTAAAACTTGAAGACCTGAAACGAGTGTTAAATGCTAGGTCCAACTTAATCTGCCATGTGAAATAAATGCTAGAGCAATAAGACATACCGAATCAATGTTATACATTGCCAATGCGACTCCAGGCCCTTTAAAGTCGTGTACATCAATATCCTTTCCAGTTTCCATCCTCTGGGACTGCATGATAATAAAATCCACTTATCAAGGATTATATTATATTCTGTAGACAGTGATTTACCTGTGCTGCTTTCCTACTGAGAATTGACTATAAAATGCAGACACAATTAAAGAGACCACAGGGTCTAAATTCATACCGAATAGCAATTTAAGCTTTCCAAGACCTGGGATGAGTGTATCAGTGGCTCGATATTGATCACCAAAAGCATGTCTGCCAATACAAAAGAAGTCAAAGGACATGAGTGACAGTGTTATGATTTAAAAGAGCATGACGGTAAGAACGATTTGAAAGGCAAATAAACATACCAGAAACAATCCTAGGAATGTTCTTACACAAGATTGGCTCACGGAAAACAGTCCCTACAAAAACTAGGGTTAATAATGCCTTCTTCAAAAACCAATCATATGCCAAACAAGAGCGGTTAAATAAGGAACCACATACGGAGTAATACATAAGCTGAGTTTGCCTACTGCCTTGCCAAGCACCAACTCACTAACAAATCAGTATCAGATTTGCCAGTTTTAAGAGAGGTAGCCAAAACAGAAAACTTTGATTGGAAAAACAGTCAAGGAAACTGGAAACTAGTTTTAAGATAACTCCATTAGCATTCAATGGACTAAATCCAACCAGCTTATCTTTTGAGATTCCTAATAATTAGATGGACTAAAATGGATGATGATACTCCAATATCACGTACCCAACGCCTTTTCCTCTTTTCACTTTATAGTTCCTAGTCTTTTATAAAGTAATGGAGAAAATATAAAGCTAACCATTTGTCCACGCTTAGAGCCATTGTTTTATCAACCCAACATAGCACACTTTTCACAAGCATCAGTTCTGAAACTGAAATTTGTGGCATACTTGGTAGTATATAAAACTCTGCCCCTTCAAATACCCACCAGTTAAAATAATTAAACCCATAATTAACAACCAAGTTTTGATTAATTTTCCTACACTACTATCACATGCAACATCTACATGCATGATTATTTCTAGTTTTTTGTAAATTGAATTTTGTAACTGAAAATTATTTCACTTTTTTGGGTGTTTAACAAGCTATACGCTCAAATTGCAGTAACGGAGTTATAGTAATTAAATTATCCTACCATATGTAAAGACGGCGAAAGCGGAATTCTGGGTACACCCATCCATAATTATTCCAAGAAAGTTCTCTTGGGCAATTTATCAGTCAATTTAAGTACATACATTTCCAATTTTCAATGCAATTAGCCAAGAATTATTATGTGTATTCCATTATCAGATGACCTAGTAATTGTGTTCTTAATTATTATTATGTGTATTATAATTATTATTATGACTGAAATTATAAAAATTCAATTAAATCTTCCATATAATTTCTAATTAGTGAACTGACACTAAACTTGAAATTAAACTAAGTCATTGTTCAAGTTAAATGCTACATTCTATCTACCATCAAAAGATTGAACATAAATAGAAGCAATCTTACCATAGGTGAACTTGATTTCAAAAATTCAACAATGTCGAGCCAAAATCGATTTTTGGGGGCGAAATTAAGCAATTTTTCCACTCGAAAATTCAAAAATTCAACACTTCTGTAATTTGCTTGAACTTCCTCGGGTATTTGGGGGCGAAAATTCAGCGATTTTTCCACTCAAAAATTTCAGTTATTGCTCGAATTTTTTCAGCAGGATTTTTAATTGAATTTTTTGGGGTTTCTAGGGTTCGAATTCGTATGGAATTGAGTACATTTTTTGCTCGAAATGGGGGATTTTTGGTCGAAAATAATCAATTTTTCTGGGGTTTAAGGATTCAAAATAATTAGGGTTTTTGGTCTAAATTTTTGCTCGAAATTGCTCGGATTTGCTGCCGATTATGGGTGTTGAACTTGATTGCGATTTTGGATGTTGAATTTGCTGGGGAATTGCAGTTTTTTGAGCGAATTTGTGGGTGTTTTTTGGGCGAATTTGTTGGATTGAAGGGTCGATTTTGGATGTTGAATTTGTTGCAACTCTGTTTTTTTCTTTATGTTTAGTGAATTAGTGAAAGGTAGGCGTGAAAAGCTAAGGTCAAAAAGAATAACCTAAAGTGCATCAGAGTTATTAGCGTCACTTTATAATAAAAATGCGACGCAAATAACAAAATCTGAAATGCTGAAAATTTGTTATTTGCGTCACTCATTTATTAAAGGAGTGACGTAATTTATTCACTGCCTTATTTGCGTCGCTTGTCAGTAAATGCGTGACGCAAATAAGTTTATTATTTGCGTCGCTTCAATAAATAGGAGCGACGCAAATGATAGAAAGCTAACATACACTTGTTTTTTGCGTCGCTTCTTTAATAACAAGCGACGCAAATAACTTTAAAGGAGGGTAAAAATACGCATTTGCTTCGTTCTTTAGAATGAGTGACGCAAATATGGCGACGCAAATGAGCTTTTTTCTACTAGTGCCACTAAGTCTCCTGAAACGTCTGAGAAGACTGAGGTTGCCGCTGAGACTGAGAATGGCAACGAACCTTGGGAGATTGTCTTACGCGACTAGGCTCCCCCTCGTCCAAGCCTCTATGCCTCTAGCACGAGCGGGATTTATGTCGCTCCTGAAATACACAAAATCAAAAGATGTCAATGGTACAAGATAGAACAAATGGTAAAAATGGAAAAAAGTGAACATACCTCAAGAACATCGCTAGAACCGCCCCGATAACTCGCACCACGCCGAAGCATGATGATGCAGTACTTCAAAACGTCAACTAGCTTCATGAATCCCATCATCTCCGGGTGCATAGGTTGAGAACAAAGTAAAGAAAAATCAGTAACATGCGGTATTAAAAAGGATCAATAATGTGTCAAAAAGCTTATCAGCTCAAACACATTAGGCAAAGACTCATGTACCTGTCCGAAACCCTCTGACGCGTCAGCAATATGATCCTTAGTAATACCGATCGGCCTCGGGTAACGGACGGATTGAGGCGGGACCTCAATCTTCTCCACATAGTGAACAGTCGTCTGAAAATATGATCGAATAATCAGGTTATTCGACGGTTTAAACAGAGACTAGCGACAAAATTCTCAAAAACATCATACCCCAAGAAGACGGGGTGGAGGAGCCAAAGAGGGAAGCAAGTCCTACGAATAATCTCCTTCCATACGCACAAGCTCCTGCCAAGGAAAAGTGTAGCACTCTCTCCTTTTATCAACTCCCTAAGCAAACGTGAGTCCAGCATCGACTCCGGTGGAGGCAAGGACACCACAAAGCGATCAGCACTGTGCTGATGAACAACACGCTCCCCAAAATACCAAGCAAAGCGTCCAGTACCAAAAAAAACAGTACGGTATGCTGAAAGCCGCAAGGCCTCGGGAAGATCAGTCATCCCAGCCCAAGGCCAATACTGGATCTCAACAGCAACCTGAAAACCATATAAAGTTGCAATGAACGCCGAAAATAACGTCAAGGTAAAGAATAACATGTTGCAAAATCAATTCTTACACCAACGGAAGAGGTGCCTCAGTGCAGCAGCGCAGCGCAGGGATGGACCCCACTCGTGACTCACCTCGGTCACGCCAGCTAGCTCCGATAGGGAAGTCATGGACCGCTCCACGACGCCGTCAAGGGGCCAATCCCGGAAATTAATCATAGAATCACAGCTGAAATTAAAAGTAGTCTCTAAGCACATGAGTTAAATAGGTTAAAACAAAACAAGAAGAGGAAATATCGTCACCTCTACGACTCTCCATAAACCGTAGACAATGACAGGGGTCTGGTCATTCTGCTGCATACAACCATGACGTAGCGACGAGAGAAGATCGGCATATCCAAGGCTGGCCCAACTATAGAATCCTATCTCGCTGATCCTGACCAAAGAAGGAAGGTAGCAAACGAGCGCACGTGAACTCCTATCAGGAGAAAGAGTCACGGAAATGAGAATCAAAATGAAGATCCGCACTCGCTGCTCAGGTGATGTCTCATCCATGTCAAAGCTACATGCCAAAACAGAAGCCAACTCCGATCGCCCGCTTTTAAGACCACCTCGAGGCATCGGCTGAGTCCTGATATGCTGAAAGACCGGACCTAACAAATCTGCTACCTCACCCGCCCCCCAAGTAAGGTTAGGAATCTGCGCTACGACCCGCTCGGTGAAGCGTAAGCCGCTGATCATGCTAAAATCAAGGGGGGTCACTGTCATCTCCCCCCAAGCGAAGTGAAAAGTGTTGGTAGTATCCCAAAAATACTCCAACAACGCACGACCTACTGTCGGGCCACAACCCCGGGGGCTCCAAAACCCTACGACCGCCGAATAAAAATCTCCTAAGCCATCAGATTCCCATAAGGCATTCGTAACAGGATCCCTCGTGATAATCCTATATAGCCGGGGAACCAAATCTCCAGCTCCAGATCCATGATGGCGAAGCGTGCCATCGACTATGCCGGCAAGTGGACGGTGAGAAACGTGGTTCTCACGGCAGAAAACCTACTCGTCTGGTGTCCACGGAGGTGGAATCCACCTACCCCTACTCGAAGAAGGGCGAGGCTTGGTCTCTAGGGCATCGTCGTCCATGCCCTCAGGAACTTTGGGAGTGTCCTCCCGAAAAGCCTGACGCCGGCCACGAGTAGAAAGATTGTGAGCCCGTTGTATAGGCATGCTATTACAAAAAAAAATATATATAAATATTTAGCATCATTTCCTAAGGCATTTAGTTATTTATTCAAAAGCGACTTAACAGCTACCTCAAGTTGCATTTTCTATTATACGCGAAATTTTTACCTCAAGGCTAAAAATTAGCAAATTAATGGAATTATTTCTAGTATTTTGTTTATCCATGACGAACTAATACTATGTTCTCCTAATTGCATGATACTATATTCTCCATGACAATATAGTACATACACAAAACAGAGCATGTTTCAAATATTGCACAAGAACGATAAATCGGCACATCATGGCATATTTTACAAGATCTACAACTAATATATCACCATTTCAAGTGCAAAAGTATAAACATGAACAACAAGAACACCATTTCACACAAGTAGTACCAAAAATGGTGATTTGCTGAATTTCTCACCAAAACACACAAACTTGGTGTCAAATTGCTCACAAACACACATACATTCATATACAAGTCAATTCATAGCAAGAATTTTGACATGGAAGCTCAAAATTAAAAACAACCCAATTTGATTTTTTTAGGGTTTCAAGCAAGTATGGAATTTACAACAAATTTTGAGACAAAAGCAAAGGAAACTTACATAGATCCTTGTGAGAAATAGAAAATGAGGAAATTAGCAAAAAAATTGGAGCGAATTTGGTGGAGATTTGAGCTACAAAAGCTCGAAAAACCCGCTGAAATGGTGCAACAACCACCACGACACAGTGGTCCAACGCCGTGGCACGGTAAAGCTTCTCCGTGTCACAGTGAATCCTGGAAAGAGGCGGAGCTTAGGCAACAGTTGCGGGAAGCAGCGGAGCTCAGGTAGTAGCAGCAACGGCGAGAAAACGGCAAAACAAGTTCTCACGCACCAAGAACAGACACCGTGTCATGGTGACTAGAGCCACGTCACTGTGGAACCTGACGAGTGACAGTTCTGGGCTTCGTGGCACGGTGGCCGGAGACGTCAAAATAGAAAAAATAAAAAAAAAATTGAGAAATTGAGAATGAAAATGGCGACAAATGGGAAGCAGCAGCTGATACTTAAAGGAAAAAAAAAATAACCGTTACACTCTTTCGTTCCCATGCCACGAATATCGTTACCACGTAACGGCATTCGTGCTTGTGGCACAGTGTTGTAATCGTGGCGCCTTGACAATTTCAATAAAAAAAAGGGATCCCGCATCACAGGGATTTCCACCGTCTGACGGAACTGGAGCACCGTGTCGCGGGATTTGTCTACATGGCGCGGTGCCTTTTTATTTGTCCTGCACGCTCCTTTCAAGCTTCTGGCAGATATTTTAGCATCTTTGACCAAGTTGGAACGATTTTCCGCGACTTTTGGTCAGTTATTTTCTCACCAGAATTGCGCGGAACATTTTAATTGGTATTTAAATGGTACCAAAATTACCAATTTGCCTCTAACAAGCATTAGGGTTGCATTTTCGACGCTTTAAGTACCTAATATAGTCAGATAGTGAACTTGAAGGTAAATCATCTGCGGCCCACGTTCGGGGATAATTGAACCATCATACACTTGCAAATTTCAGCGATTATATCAGTTGTCCGTTTTCCTCAAGCATGGAAAACATTATCGGTGAATTTTTCTTCAAGTATAGAAAACCGCCAAGTCGGCTTTCCTCAAGCATGGAAAGCGTTACGGTGGATTTTTCTTCAAGTATAGAATGCCGCCAAGTTGTCTTTCCTCAAGCATGGAAAGTATTATCGGTGTATTTCTTCAAGCATAGAAAAGCACCAAAACGATATGTTGACTATCCTCAGGCATGGAAAGTATTATCCGGTAGGTTACTTCAGGCTTAGAAAGCTACCAAATTCATCATTCGGCTTTCCTCAGACATGGAAAGCATTTAACAAACGTCATCCGGTGGATTCCTTCAAGCATAGGAAGCTGCCACACTCCTTTGTCAACGATACACTAGTGTCAGATACATATTCTATCCCTTTACTCTTTTATCTGTAGAACTAAAAATTTTCTGCAGGTATCGACGTATAAAGAGTGATTTAAGATCGCAAAACGTCTTAAATCATTCTCCGTCCCTATCGACTACTTTGACTATCGTTTTCGAAACTGACATTTCTACAAACTCAGTCAAAGTAGGGGCTTCTGTAGACACCTAAAAATGTCTCCCCAAAACCAAACCTGATGATGAACAATATTTTACCGCCATTATTAGTCGGGTTTAGTATTTAATCCCGAGAGAGCTTTAAAAATCGTGTTTAATTAAATTCAGTGTTTGAATAGTCCATGGATCAGTCTTGATGTTTAGTCAAAGCATAATTTATGTTTAATTTTAGCCCAAACCTTTTTTATTTTATTTTGGCCCAAGGTTTTTTTATTATATTTATTTA